AGCAATATAGGTATTTCATAAAGACAAATTACAACTATTTTTTACATTGGCTCTTTGTTTACGTGGCGGCATCATAAAGTCAGCGAGCCTTTATTAAACCAAAAGCGACAAACAAAACATTGACGGGCGGTGTGTTGGCTTATGCAAAACAGCCCGTACCTACACTCGCCGGAGTACTGAGATCACCGAACCATCGGGGGTCCAGATTACCGAGGCCCTACTGTAGCTTAGCATAAATCGGAGCGCACTGAAAACGTTGCCAATCACTCGCATTTCGTGGCGCACCTGCGCGTGCGCAGCGATGCCCCATTTTCGAGAACAGCCTCTCGACTCGGTGCGAAACGTGTACTCTGTGTAAGAGCACCAATTAAATCCGTCGTATTGTCGTGAATGTGTATCTCGAGTGAAAATCACCGGCCGCAGCGTGGTTCGTAAAACTGGCCCGACATTATCGCGCTTAGCGAAATAGTAATTGTAACTTATCTCAACCCGACGGCGATGCGAAAAGAGGAATTATGATAATGCAAATATCAATAAATATTTTTTTTGTGTTTTACTTAAGCGCTAACACTTGGCTGATCTTAAAGATGGCGTTATAATTGTGCAAATAACAAAGGCCTAATACAATTGAAAGAAAAGTCTTAGGCTAATGTTTATTTATAATACATTGTCCTTTTTGCATAAAGGCATCCTGATATTACGAAACACTATCTAATTTGACAGTTACCACACAAGAATACTTTTTTAATAGACCAGTTTAGGGGAATTCTTTTAATGGAAGGTTCAATACGAGTATTGTACACATAAACAAGATGCGCTCTCGATCTATATATTGTTTATACTAGAATTATTTTTATTATACTAATTATATTTTTTATATAAAAAAAAAACTTTCAATTGCGCATGCGCATTTTGCGCTTCCCAGTTATTACGTAGTAGTTGCCATAAATAACTTATATACAATTTGTAGACGTTCGATCTTTCCGCAGATATACTTTGTATAACTGATCGAGGACGCTTAGATTCATGTTAATTAAGATAACGAGATACGTATAGGCAGCCGACGCAAGTACATGTTGCCCAAGTATTTAGTTTATAGTTAGATTGTGAGATAACCGAACAAGGCTTGTTTAAATGTAATGCAACTTGCTAGACTTGCTGGAGACTTATTGTAGACTTATGTTGGATAAAGCAACAAGGATAATGTGGTAAATTATAATAACGTTTTCGTGTAGATAAGCTGTCATGTCGATCAAAAATTATACAAGTAAAATATACAAACACAAATGTTGTATATGCTCTCTTAGCACGATTCCCAGCTGTGGGAACTTATAAAGGGCTGATGATCTTACATTATTATCTTCAGACATAGAGCGTTTATAATCTCGCCAGTGGCCTACAGCGATGATTATAACGCTGTTAGCTCTTAAGTAGTTTTTTATAACTAGAGAAATTCGACCGCTCTAAGTTTACCTACATTTATATTATTAAAGCCACTAAGGCTTGGTGATTTTCATCTCGCTACATCTACGTGAATTATCTCAACGAGAGCTTCTGCGTTCGAATGCTGGTAAAACATTATGAAAGAATATGCAAAGTCAAAATAGGACGATAGCGTACCCTTTTAAGATTTTATATGGCGTTTTTTTCTTTTATTACTTGGAAGAATCGAATCTTTACCGACGCCCCCAGTGCAAACTGTAAGTTAAATTGTGTTTCGGTTCTGTCTTAGAAGAAATGCCATTCCGAATTTCGGAAGCCAAAAAAGGTCGACAACACATCTAGTGTAAATATTATATTGCTGGGGTATTGTACCTATCATTATCTGAACCCCATGGTCCTCAATAACATGTAAAAAATATTAAAGTTTGGAAAAGTTGAACGTAAGTAACAAGGTGTAAAACAATGAACCTTAATACGTAGGTGTTAAGGTTGAAATTAGATTGGGCGAGGGGTGTATTTATCATTGAAATTTGAAGATGTAGGATACGATAGTTCCTCCTGTGTCGTGCCAATCTAAAATACATTTATAATTAATCAAAAAATACAATATTATAATTTCAGTCCGAAGTTAGTGTTGTAAACTAATTGAACTTGAACAATAAATCAGACACGGAAATGTGTTCGCCCATGCCCCACAGAGGGAAACTGGATTTTTATCTTAAATATATATTTAACATATAAAACATAGCTACAGAATACAAAACTTTTGCAAAAAATAAACATAACAATGTTTTAGAATGTATATTTAAACTTAATACAGAGATTTAAAAAGATATTTACTATCAAACTCATATAAAATGTCTTTATAAAAGCCCGACAAACATAAAAAAAATCTCGATGCTCTCATTCTTAATATTATTGTATAATCTGTAAAAAAACGTATATGTACTTATTACTTTTAAGAGTGTAATAATTGCAACTCGTTCACTACACTTATTTCATCGATAAAAAACTCGTAAAAGTATAAAGGTATAATGGGTTATTCTCTTAGCGATGTGGCACAACACTAGCTAGTGTCGATCCAATTGGTCGTGCTTGGTTGTCATGGCGCAACACTCGTTAACCCACATGCAAGATGACCAAGTCATCATTGCATCCCAAAAACATATATGTATATAATACATACGTTTTACCGGTGGCTTGTATTGTGCCCTAAAAGCCAAATTGTGCCAAAGACTTTTAACGGTTTAAAACGCGAAATATTAAATATATACGTTGTTACTCGTGACTTGTTTGTATTGTGCCTTAAAAGCCCAAAATTTGAACTACGGCCCAATGTTTCGGATGCATTAATGCGGTCACCGGCTACCGGGCACCGCAATTCAGTAAGCAATATTTTGGCGTTTTAAACCCTTAAAAGTGTTTTTTAATAATGTAAAAGATTTGTGTAAACTACAGACAACACTTAGGTACTATAAACGGTTTAAAACTCGAAAAACAATCGTATTAGACTCTTAAAAATACGAATATGTTTTAGTTTTCATTTTTTTAAATAACAACGTAGATATCAATTATAATGTGAAAACCAGTATCACTCTGAAGGCTTAACTATTTGAATATGGAATTATATATATTAGTAATAGTAGCTCAATTGGTTAGAGCAGGTTCCTTGCAAACTTTTCTTCAATCCAAAAATATTTGACTATTATAACAGTTCTTTAACAATGTAAGTTTCAAAAAAATTAACTTAAAAATGTATTAAAAGCCAATGAACGTAACGAGTTTAATATTGAAACCTGACAGATGTAACTATATCCGATGTTTCGCTCTGCACGTTCGCTCCAGTTCGCCGTGTCAATTGACAAACCTTTCTCGTTTTACGTGTAATAACTTACTGCATATTCGCAAAGCATAGGCTCGATTAATACCAATTTAACAAACAAATAAACATTCAAAAAATACTTTATTATCACCATACATTTGAGATTCAAAAGATTCAAATAAAACATTTTAACAGTTTAAAATGCAAAATAATCGGAGACGAATCTCCCCGTAGGGTTACTACAAAGCATATCGAAGCGTCGGGCCGTAGTTAAGTATTTTTTTAAATAAGTTAAACATAATATATGGTGGTTTAAACCGTTAAAATGTTTTATTTAATTGTCAAATTGCAAGTTAACCAATAGATATAGTGTCGAGGACGTTTTTTTATATCATCTAAAGAGAAATCAGTGTTTCAAACATATTTTGGGTATCTAACCGTTTTCGCAGTGCACGCATCGGCAAATCGCAAAGATGAATAATTTTCCCCGTTTTTTTCCACATTTACCGCAGTGTCTTCCCTTTTATTCACAGCGCGTTGCTTAATAGCTTATAACCTTCCTCGATAAATACTCTAACTCAAACAAATTCAATACAAACTATTCGTTCCTGACATTAGCGCATTCAAACAAACTCTTCAGCTTTATATATGAGTATAGATAAACATTGTTGCAATAACTGCTTTTATAGTAAGCAACTATAAATGAAGAATACATGCACTATGTTTGATCGTGCTAAATTGAGTCAAAACAATATCTACGGCGTACACTGAAGGCAGTTACGTGACGATCACAGCTATGCTGCGTGACCTGTTTGCCCTGATTTCGTACAGGATCTCCATGCACAAGCTTGTCGATTGGCAAGCTTGTGTTATTTAAAGAAAACGCTTTAAACGGTTTAAAACGCGAAATATTCTTTTTTTTATATATGGCATATAATAGACATATTTTAAAAACTGGCTGAGTCCAGACAACAGGGATGCCCTCCATCCTCAGTCCCCCGTGACCACGAATACTACAAAGCATTTGAAACATGTTTTATTTAAATGTGTATTAAATACTTAATAACTACAAGTATTCGATTTTATTAGCTTAATGACAATATATTATGCTTACTTTTGATGAGCTCGTTGGTGGGAATGTGTTTGGTGCAAAAGCTTGGATTTTCGAACACAAATTAAAGTCTTTAGATTTTTTTTTAATTACATGGGAGGGACTTCATCCGGCATCCAGTATGTACCGTGCTGCTGCTTTAAAGAATTGATCGAGAGTACGAGCAAGTTCTGGCCGTGTCGGCAAATTAAATTAAATCAAAATAGATTTTGAATTTAGGGAATGACATCAGTTTTATCAACTGCTACATAAATTTAATGTTTTCTTTTTTTTCGTTTCAGATAACCGAGGGACTGACATATAATGGGAGCACCAAGTGTACTCGCGGAACACTGAACAATCATCCAGGAGCCATTTTCAGTTTGTAAATAATGGGAAGAAGGAACGTTCGGGTCAAAACAGCACACTCCGTCGGTCCGCCTATTTTCATTATATTAGGCACTGAGTAGCAATCAAACTCATCTCCAGTTACCGCCGCACCAGCGACTGCCAATAAAGTACAAGTCTTATCGGGTAGCACGTTTTTAGATATAATTATTTAGTACAAAACTCGTATTAAAGATAATAAGAGATTTATGCAGTTAAGTTGACGAGCGAGTCGGTCTCATCCAGGAAACGATAGTCATGACGACCACTGCACCCGAACTATCAAAGTCAGACTTCTTCGATTTCGTCACGTCTAATGAAGTAACGGACGCTCAATACAAACAACAAATGCGATCTGTCAATGTATTTATGGAATCGCCGGATTCGCGATCGAATCCCCTTCTCTCGGAGGAGCCCAAGGAACAAAACAACAACCTGCTCAGCGTGACCTCCTGCAACCCAAGCAACACCAGCATGACAACTGCCACCACTTCTAATTCCTTACAAAGTTTCGATTCCATATGGAACGTCGATAGAGATCGCGACCGCTTGGAAACCGCGATGTTAGAAGATCTAAATAAATTCTACTGGAACCAAGACAGTGATATAAGCGGGACACATCCCTGCACGGACACCACAATTTCTAATAAACTAATCAGCAACAACACTGATGGACAAATTTATACGTTAACTGTACTAAACCAGGATAATTGGGTGAAAGATGAGGACGTTTCCATGTCCAGTCCGGCTGATATAGAACAAAACTCATCGTTAGATCTCGAATCGATATTAAACATGAACGGTTTTCCGAACGATTTTAATCAAGAAGCGCTTAACTCAAACATTCTACCGAAAGTAGAAAACTTCAATTACGAAGAAAATGAATCTGATAATCGAAGTTCGGACTTGAACAATAGTATAATAAAGGTAGAACCGTTTAACTATAATGAGACTGGTTTCGGAAACAATGATAAAAAAGATGACTCTAACCCGAGTCCGATCATCGCTACTTCAGCGATACTAGACGGACAAGTTGAATTTAATAACAACAATAACGATTGGAAGTTATCAGACCAAAATTCAGAATCAAACGAATCTCTCCTCCGGAGTGCGTTACAGGGCAAAGCTTTCATTCGATACAGTACAATACCTAAAAATTCCTTAACGAAAATCGATGCAGATGCAGAACTAAAAAGAGTAATTATCAATAATAATAACAAAGCCGATGTTCCATCAATGTACCAATCAGAGAATAAGGAGCACGACACGGAGCTTCTTATGTCAATAGCACCGCAAAATGGGAATGTCAATATATCAATATTACTAGAAGACCCGACAGCAGTTGTCAACAATGGTGAAAATGCAGCGCCGACACAAAGCGTGGACGATCTGTTGTTCTCACAGCTTGACGTCACATATTCCGATGATTATGAAAAATTGAAGAGGATAACGACTGAATTGGGGGAATCCGTCCAGCCGTTCTGTACGGTGGAACCGATAGATCCCACCCGAAGCGTTTATAATATTCACAACGTGAACGGTGAGCTGGTAACGATGATACCAGCGGGAGATATACAGCTGTCCCAACACTTACAAATGATGACAGCGTCACCTACAGTGTCTAGCACTAAGTCAATGGGGAAGAAGCATAAAAGATTCCAAAATAAGAACACTTCCCCTCAATCGCAGACGCAAACGGGAACAGCGGTGCAAGCGGCGACTTCCACGTCGAATGGAGTGAGGAAAGAGAGATCCTTGCACTATTGCTCGATCTGTTCAAAAGGTTTCAAGGACAAGTATTCAGTCAACGTGCACGTGCGAACGCATACAGGCGAAAAGCCATTCACCTGTTCCCTATGCGGGAAAAGTTTTCGACAAAAGGCGCATTTAGCCAAGCACTACCAGACGCATATAGCCCAAAAGACGGCCGCGGCCAACGGAGCCAAGCCAGCCAAGCAGAGGTAACCACTCGGTCTACAGTTCCGTTCCAATAGTCAATAATTATATGTTGTTACGTGATAACAGATGTATTAAACAATTGCGTGAAGGCTGAATACACGTGGTTAGGTGCTAAATATTTGTAGAGACCGATAAGGTATGACAGTGATATGATTGATATTTAAATATGTCCGACAATAAAATGACCGTTACTTGTTAATTTGTACGTAATTCCGTCCGTTACCGATAGTTTTAGCTTTAGCTATTTGATAGTAGACTAGACCTTAGTTCGTAATGTTTGTAATACTCCAGAACCTAATAAGGCATTAGAAGCTAACTCTCGTCGGGTCTCTTTCGAAATTTTTTAAATAGTTCTAAGAATAGACACTTAACACTTGAACTGTAATAATTTCACTAACGGCCAATGTATCCGATTGAACTTTCTAAAAAATAGTAAAAAAACCTTGTAAAAGAGCGAACTATCTCTCGCCGCTCAATCGCATCTTACTGCTTAAGTACGTCGCTATTATGTTATTTCGACTATGTTCTTTCCTTGTGCACATACAAGTGCGTTTAACTTTCGAAAATTACATATTACATTGCTTTACACTTTTTATTTTGATCACAATATTACGTATTTTCAGCCGAAGCTAAGTTTCTCTTTAGAAATTGGTATGAGGTCTGGACGTGCAGTGAAGGGTCCACGAGTATTAAATTGCTCCCCTTATTTTAGGTGAGCTATCATTATCCCAGATCACTATAAATCTCAGATAGTGGCGATTCAATCGATACGTTTAAAATTAGACTTCCTTTCTCATCTAATAAATCGGACTTTCTTTGTTTCTCTCGTGGTCTTGCGAGGCCGCGCCCAGCACATAATACTCCGAACAATACTCAATAATTAACGATTTTATATAATCTTCGGAATGAAAGTGATACAAGCATTTTATAGCTATTTTTATGATCTTATCATTGTTCTCTGTGTAGATAATATTGAGACTATAGAATGTCGCGCAGCGTGTTTTAATAATTTTAACATATATTATGGTTTTATTCGCACTTTCACTTATTGTATACCCGTTACCATATTTTGAGGAGCACTTTGCATAACTTCAAATATATTCGAAATGGTATCGACGTGGTAGTAACAAGACTATTTAAAAACACTTTTAATGGTTTAAAACACGAAATTTAATAATAGTATAAGTACAACTTATTTACTATTTAAAAATATTTCAACTTCATTCACTGATGCTTTGTAGCAGCTTTGGTCATGAAGAGACTGTCTCGGACAGTATTTAAAACCGTTAAAAGTGTTTTTTTATGTGTATTACTCGCGTTAATTACAGACAGTATTTTTAACTTACATTTCCTTTTTTTTTAACTTATAAAATTGCAAAAACTTTATTATATAAGAAAAAAAACGCAACGAATTTTCTTGCCATTATAATCTTGGTGCCTCAGCCGCCAACATCCTCGGCACTATTTAACTAGCATTTTACTTGACACTGCCTTAAGATCTCTGAGTTAGTCGGAGACTGTGTATCAATGACTCTTAAGAACCAACTGATTGTATTCGTCGGCTTAGTTCGCAATTTAACATAATTGTAGTTATATAATATTTATATCGCGAAAACCCAATTTCGAGAATTGCATTCGTCTTCTACTAGTTATAAGTAAATTTTAAATTTGTTAAAATGATAACACCGACGGGAATCGATCCACGACCGACAGTGTGCCGTTCCGTTTGTTTACCAATTTGCGGTACTTTGGAAGAAATCGTACAGTGTTTGAAATAATACTCAGTAATCGACGTTAATTTGTGTCGAAGTGTATCTCATTAGATCATTATTGAATTTAGCGAATTTATAGACGTTACTTATATAATATAACATTCTATTAAATATTTCTGTATGATAAGTTTCGAGAGATTTACCAATTAGATGTAAGTTCTATGTTTGTGTTAAAACTACGAATCGTTGAGATGATTGTTAATATATTCACTTGAAAACCCCTTTATTTGTTTTTGGTAATACACGAAATCGAATAAATTTATTCGTATATGTTTAAATAAAACACTTTCACCGGTTTTAAACGCGAAATGTTATCGATTAATTTCATTATAATATATTTAACTACGGCTCTGGCGTTTCGGATGCTTTTCAGCAGCCGTGGTTATGGGGGGACTGAAGATGAAAGGTGTCGCTAATGTCAAAGTTGAATCTGTTATCTGTTACGCTACGTTGGTGCGTAGTTAAAATTAATTGTAAATAAGTTAACTAATATATTTCGAGTTTTAAGTCGTTTAAAGTGTTTTATTTAAACGTGTACCTACTACTCGCGTAAACTACAGACAATACTTTATTCGTATAATTATTTAGCTGCATTTGTTCCTGATTTGATTTTTAGATTTTATTAAAACTTGTGGATAAGATTTTTAATTTAATGTTAACGTTAAGATTTGGACGAAACTAATGTTTCATTTAGATGTATCGAGATAACGAGTGTAAATATAGACGATATCAATATTTATATGAGATACTGTATTGCTCAATAGGACATGAAACCACGAATTGTTCACTTCGTCCTTCGAAGCCGTCCCTGTACAATACTATAATTATTTATTTATAAAATTATATTTAAGTTTTAAAGGAAACGAAAAGGTTTTGATTTTTAATCCGAGCTGTGATTATTGTTTATTTACTGCTTAACGATTGCTGTGTTGCATAAACAGAATGCAAAATAATTTCAATCCAAACAAAAACCGACCCTAGTTCACTAGTCTTCCAACATATTTTCGTGTTTCAGTATATCTGTAACTTACGTCACTAGAATTTCAAAAATTTTGACCCCACAACATTTATTGTAATTGAAGTGAATAATGTTTGACCACAGTGACGTCACAAATATTGTCATAATTCCAACGATCTTTCCTTCCTACTGTGTGACGTAACTTATAGATCCCTTTATAATATATCACATCTGAATGATAATTTATCACCACGTGGACGACAGCTAAAACCTATCGTTTGCTTCTGGATTTTGTTAGAACTTATATTTGTCCTAACAGCGCGAAGACAATAGTTTAGTTATATCGAAAATCACATTGTCAAACATTTGATCTTACACAGTACCTATGTTAAAATACAATATTTACCATATTTTTATGACATTTACAATTTTTTTTATGAAATTTCTATATTTTTTACTTTCCTACTTAAGTTTGCTAATAAAATGTTTTTATAAATAAATGTTCTTGTTTTATTTTACACCGATATGCAACGTAAGTGTAACAAGTAACAAATGTTTTCAAAAAGTTAACTTTTATTTGGGGATTCTTAATTAATCAATTATTATTTCTGACATATGAGTCTAGTTTTAGTTAGACTACTATTTCTAAACATCTACTTAATACCGATAACAGTATAGAGTTATTACGCACAGTCGACCAGTCGGCGAATCAGTATCTCGGCGACAAAAACAGAGAAACTCGAACCAGGAGCCCAAGTCGAGCGACAATATTCCAAGTATATAGACGACGATTACTACCGCTACTTTATAAAGAAAAAGAAAACCAAAAGAGTTTTACGCTATATTTTTGCATTGTTAAATAGTATTTCTCCCCCTTCCCCTACCGGTGAAACAATGATTGAATTTTTGGTTGTGTACGCTTCACTGTATCTTGGGGTGTTAGATGCAGAGTTATTCCACATTGTATAGACTATAGCGAGACGAAACAAAAGCTGAGTGGAACAGCGTCGGTCGAGGCATTGTTCTAGTGTTCCGGCCGATGTGCGGCGGCCACACGTTGTAATTAGCTCCATTGTGGGCAGATCGTATCGACCACGTCTGTACTTCCGATGGATTTATACCTCGGTATACGCTTTCCACTCATTGTTCGCATCTTCTGGAAGCAGACCTACATTGCTTGACCTCGATCACCATCAAATCTAAGTGCAAAAACTCAAGCTCTCCAAGTAAATTTACTACTATATTTTGGTAGAAAACTCCACAAAAATATACTAAACTGTAGTTTCCACGAGTAGTTGTTGAATATTGCATATACAACAATTAGATATTAGGTTATAGCAAAATGTAAAAGGGACCTACCCCCGTCCCTTCTTTCCTTAAATTTACAGTATAATAGAAAAGTACGGGAATGTGATTTGTTGAAATATTATTATTATAAGTTGTATCTAAAAAATTATGAAGCTGAAGAGTTTATTTGTTTGTTAGAATGCACTTTGACTCTCACTGACACTACTGGTTCGAATGGAAAAAACTTTTTGTGTTGGTTAAACATTTATTGAGGCAGGCTTTAGGCTACAAAACATGAGGCTGCGAGTAATAGAGCGAAGGGACGGAGGAAATGTGAAAACATATGAGGAGAATTGTTCATTTTTGAGAATTTCTGTTGCTTCTGCTAAAACTTAAGATCAAAAGATATGATGAAAAGGATTTGTCTTCTTTAAATAATCTAAAAATATCCCACATTTGTATTTTAAATAAAAACACAAAACCATTTTTTGGAAACAAATTTCATCAAATCTAAGGTGAAATAAAGTTTGCCAGGTCAGCTATATATAACCACTGGACATCGAAAATGTGAGAATAGTTATTTAGTAGTATTTTTGTTATTAAATAGAACACATTAATCCATCTACGCACTGTGAGAATTTGAACCAACGAAATGCTTACGAGATGTAAACATTTGCCTGTGATTATAAGCTAGCACGCTAACTTTCTAAATGCGGTCGTCAATTTTAGCATAGATTTTCCACTTAATCACCACTTATTAGGGAGGGTCATGATCTCCACGCGAACAACACTGTTGCTAGGTAATATGCAAATTTATTAAAAACTTATATCCTTATTTCAATAAAACACATTTAAAGATTGAAAAAAAAACAATCAAAAATCGATATTTAATTTATATAATGACACTTTTAACGGTTTAAACCGCGAAATTGAACTATTAATATATCAACAAATACATTTCGCATTTTAAACCGTTAACAGTGTTTTATTTAATGCATATTACTCTGGTGAGCTACATACAACTTTAAATAGTTTTTTATTATCGGTTGTGTTTCCATTATTCCTCTATTAAATTTGGAAAAAATATTGCATTTTCTTGCATAAAGCATGCGCAAAGCATAAGTACCTTTTTATATTGGAGGACAAACAAGTATGTTCACTTGAATGAAAATAAAATGGCCCCACCCAAATTCATTTTAGCGACTTCGCCGCTAATCATCTTTACTAAACATTCGTTTTTGCAAACAACGTCATTTTAAACAGGCTCCCTCCCGTCGTTCTTGATAAATGAATCTTTAAAGATAGACATAGATATAGCGACAAGGACTTTTTTTTTAGATCATTTAAAAGGGAATAATTCTTTCCTACTCATTATTTATTTATCTTGAACCGTTTTTACAGCGTACGCAACAGAAACCCACAGAGATGAAAAATTTCCCCCGTTTTGTTCACTTTTCACGCTGTATCTTCGCTTCTATTAGTCACAGCGCGATGTTTTAGCCTATAGTCTTCCTCGATGAATTTTCTTACCAATACAAAAATAATTCTTCAATTAGTAGTTCTTGAGATTAGCGCGTTCAAACAAACACACAAACTCTTCAGCTTTATATATTAGTATAGATTTAGGCATACGATGTTTGCAAATTTAGACTGTATGTTGGAAGAATTGTTCGTGTGATATGTCTGTTTGCTAGCTTATATTATCCATCAAATCTCCGATTTTCCAGATGGGTTATTAAAAGTTGAGAGAAATATAAAATCAAAATGGCCTCTATATAGAACCCGTAACTTTTTGGTGCTGTCACGCAGGTAGAAAAATCGATAGGCTGAGTTCGATACTCAGTACCTAGAGTGTACTGTTATACCTAAGCTACAGTGTAGCTATGTAAAACTAAATCCTTATACATAAGCATGCATTAAAATGTGAAATTTATAAATATTAAAGTGCCACTTATATTTACTTCCTGTCATGTAAATAACTAATACCATTACAAGTGATATAGCTTAGAAGGGTCGTGCAAAATATTGATAGATCGTTACTTTATTAAAGACAACTCCACATGCTAAAAAGTTTGTTTGTTTTAACGCCCTTGTCCCTAGAACTACTGGTTCGAATTTGAACATTATTTTTGTGTTGGTTAGAACATTTATCGGGGAAGGCTATAGGCTATAAAACATCGTGCTGTGACTTATAAAAGCGAAGATACAGGGGGAAATGTGATTTAAACGGGGGAATTTTTTCATCTCTGTGGGATTCAAATGCGTACGCTGCGAAAACGGTTCACGATACCCAAAAAATATGTATGCAATAAGGTTTTCACTTTAGATGATCTAAAAAATGTCAGCTACACTATATGTTTATCTTTTAAGATTGACTTGCAAGAACGACGGAAAGCGGGCGACGTCGTAGGTAAGAGATATAATTTATAAAGATGGGTAAAAAAATTATGTCCAAAATAATTGTTCTATGCGGACGAAGTCACACAGCGTGTTTTAATAATATAATAACTTTTTTTAGAAAACTTTCAGATAACTACAAAAAGGTACCTACAATATGAAGTTTGTATACAGTAGTCAAACCTAGAAAATAGACTCGCACTTGACCGGTTATGTTTCTATCCATTTACGTTACTTTTGCGTATAAAACATTAGTATAGCCATCTTAAAATATTATCCAAGAATGGCGTTTAAAGTAATGAATATGTATTATACAAGCAATTAAAATTCTATAGTTAAGCATATCTGTATCTTATCTGTCCAATACTCTTAATGCATTAAGTATTAATAACTAGCTGTGCCCCTGACTTTGTCCGCGTGGAATAGTTATTTTGGGAATCATGATATTTATTTTAACAAACAACCTGAGCTTTATAAATTATAACTGTTTGTTCTTGCGAGTTAATATTAAGAGATAGATCTTTTCTTTCTTTCTTTTAGAGTTTTCAATGCTTTTTTTCACGAATATATGGTTCTGGTTTCTTGAACCGTTTTCGCTGCGCACGGAAGGGAAGCCTTCAAAGATGAATCATTTCTCGTTTCCACATTTCCCCCTGTTTCGCTCCATTTGGTCGCGCCTGAATTTTTATGAGAAAAGGTCTAACCAACATAAAAATAGTTTTTCAAATCGATCTAGCAGTTTCCGAGATAGCCGCGGACGAACAAACAAACTCTTCAGATTAATAATATTACTATAGATTTATGGATGCTCATTTGTTATTTGAGGAATTCAACTGAAGAACTTAGTTTTGAATTAATAGTATAGATCAGTGTTACTTGATTAGCAAGTTATGACCTAGATAGCGACAATTAACATAATCACTTGGTTTAATAGCACGAGGAAGGGTATGGGACTTGAAAAGGAAAACTTACTAGAATTATTGAAAGTATCATTCTTATTTAGTTTAAACGTACAAAATATCAAAATATTACGTGAAATTCCGTTTCCCCACATGGGGCATGGGGCGAACGTGATTCTGAGTGCGTTTTACAGATCGGTTTCATTTTTAAGTAGTTGATGCAGACTTCTGTGTCCTGCCTCACTGAAACGATTTAGTGTTTCCCTGGGATTCGTGTAACGCAAAAATTGAAATATAATTTAGGTAACGACAAAAATAATTATTATTTTTCTTAATAAGCGTGCATCAGTCAGTTGTCTTGTACTACATATTGTGATGGTAGACTTTGTAGCCCCCCCCCCCAAATTTCACCTGTGCAGTGGGATGGGATTTTAGTAATCTGTCATTCGTTTCTCTAAATAAATATTTAATTTTAAAATATATCATCAAAGCAGGTAAAAATAATAAATACGAATTTTAGAGTTACATTATTTATTAATAAAATAAATACATCATTATTATTATCGTAATATAATGTATGTGTCAATATTAAAGACCTGTGTATTAATATATTTGTGAAATATACTTTGAGTATCTTTTTTAGAAATGTATTACAATTATCGTGTAAACAGAAAAAAGGAATCTCTGTAAAAACATCGTACAAAAATGTCACAAAAGACAACAATAAAATTAGATAAATTACGAGATAATTACTCTTTAAATCTAGTGAGTTTACTTCTTGGGGTTCCTGTAGACGCCCATGAAGAGAATTGATTTGGTGGGTCTCTCATATAGGACGTACACGAAAGGGAAGTTTGCTATAAAAACGCTCGGCTCCGCTGGACGAGAAGAACGGAAGCCGAAGATGGCGGTGGCGGCCGCTGCTACTGTACCTAAAATGTTAATATTATCCTCTTACAATAGATATAATAAATGGATTACGACAATGGTAAAGATTATTAATATTGTAAATTGTAATTAACAAAAAGTTTAAAATATTATGTAAACTACGTCCCAATTGACAAAAGAGGGGAAGTCCCTTCTCGTGCGTAGTTTATGTAAAAAGAAATGAAAACGAATAATTTTATTATAAAATATTCAGGGCCAGATTCAGAAGTCTGAATATTTCGGGGCAATAAAGTAAAGCCCCACTTGCTCCAAATATTTACATAGTAAAATAATTTATCTCTGTCGAGATTCCCAATAAAGTGGAAAAAATATAAAATAAATATTTACTGGTGTTTACTAGTGGGGTTTAAAGAACTTTAATATTTTTCACATGTTATTTCACATAATGGCACTACATATATAATTAAAAAGTGGAAAAGAGATTGAAAAATTTTTTCGACTCGGACAGAACTTGGACCGGCATTGTCAGCGTTCCGTGCCGTTGCTCTAGCAATTGGGCTACCGAGTCCTACACCTCGTCGTCGATTTTTTTTTCGAATCGAAATATCTATTGCGGATAGCCTTTTTTTAAATCAGGCCCTGGTTATATTATATTATAACAGGCGACCGATTAAATAAAAAATGAAAACAATCAGTGAAACAGACAGAAGGGTATCAGCCCCATGCCCCACAGGGAGGATCGCGACAGGACAATTGATGTGATGTCACAAAATTACTCCTGATCATAAAGAATGAGCAAACACTTGTTGTATTTCTTCACAATAATACAAGTATCTTACCTTCTTCATCCACCTGTATCTTTGCTTTGTGAATGGCATCGTCGAAGAGAATTCCACGATCGTCAGTCAGGGTAGAGAAGTCTGAAGTCGCGTTGAACAGGTCACCCACACCCAAAGTTTCAAGAATCTAAAGAGACGAATGAACTCACATTTAAATGAATTATCATTGGTATTTTCACGAAGTTTTTATGACCGTTATAGTATATTTCTGTAAAATATTTTTTCAGAACAATCAAGAGTTCAATAATTTTAAGAATTTATTAAATACAAGTAAATAAAACACTTTTAACGGTTTAAAACGCGCACTATGTGACTCGATTGATTTTTAACTACCGGTTGAGTATGTTGTCGTACCTGCACTATTAAGTGTTTTAAATAATAGAAGTATGACTTACTGGTCGCAACGGCAAGGTCTTTTCGATTGTAAATTTGGGTATTTCAACCACAACTTCGCGACCCATGTAGTCTTCGTTGACGACGGCTGCTAAGCGATCTGGTGTCAACTTTGCAATGATGTTCGATAGGCCTAAACGACAAAATATGTTATAAAGCATATCAATAACAAAATACATAAATAATAAAATAAACGGCGTATTACACCTTCCATTGAGTGAAGTCTATAATTGTCTATCCTTCTCCATCACAAAATCTCCCTACAGCCAGTGTCAGGCACCGTCAAATACAAGTCCAAAAATGTCTGTATTTTTTTTGGTTCAGACGATAAATCAAGTCTAACACAAACCTTCCTTCATAGAATAAGGTGGCAGAAGAATGTACATGCTTATGTCATTGCCCTTGTAAGGAAGCTCCAAGATTTGAGCTCCGAGATCGTCGTTCACCACTGAAAATAAAAGATGTATTTTTAGTGTTTAAAAAAAATATATGTTTATAAATACTATCTATAATTTACGCGAGTAGTACATATTTAAATAAAACACACTTCAACGGTTTTAACTTAAACAATGTGAAAATATATTTCGCGTTTTAAACCGTTAATTTTTTTAGTATTGATAACTTTAAAAATAAGAAAAAGATGTTGCAAAAATCGTATATACCTAAATAAAAGCCTGAATGATTTCAAAGTACATTCGTCTGCTTTAAATTCTTATCTGATTGAAATACTAAGTATCTACGTTTGTGGACGTTTCGTGACTTGTTTACGAAATTGTATAAGAGATGACGCCACGTCTACTCTTTAAAATTAAATAAGAAAAAACTAAATATAGCTGTTTTCGATCGCTAATGTATTTAATCTTATTTATCAAGAAGAAATATACAATTTTTGTCGCTTCTATTTTTCATTTTATCATTCAGATGAAGAATTATATTTATTATTTTATCTGCATGACTATGATATTGTATGACTGCTTAGTATTATATCCGACAAGAATAGATAAAATCCAAACAGTATTGATTACATTGAAACAAATAACTCAAGAAAACAAATGACTGATGATTGAGAAAATTTAAATTAGCCAGTTGCTTTGTTTTTTTTTTAATTTTTGTTAATTGTGAAATGCTATACTCAAAATATAGGTATAGTACTTACTGTAGTGGAAAATTCCCTTTTGCCTCATAAACGGAACTAGGGTCTGGTTCGTTTCAGACACAAAGAAGACTTGCTTCTTCGTTCTCTCCGCTGGGAACTTGGAAGCCCAGACACCTTTGAAGTAGGCAGCGTTTGCGAGCACCAGTTTTGTGGACTGGCCAACACCATCAATCGGGATGAGGTCTTTAATGTTGTGTTTCGTTACACGCTCCACCCAACTGTTGATGTAGTCACGGGCCTCCCCTGGACTGTCGTGGAAGTTCTGAAAAGTATTAAAAACACATTGGGTTAATAATACAAGAAACAATTGTACTTTAAGCCAAAGAAAGTCTTAATGGTTCGTTGAAATGCTTTAAATAGTAAAAAAGCAGCTTAGCTTTAATCTATATTAATATTATAGAGCTAAAGAGTCTGTTTGTTTGTTTGTTTGAACAAGCTTATCTCAGTAACTACTAGTTCCAATTAAAAATATGTTGGATAGACCACTTATCAAGGAACGGAGGAAAAAGAAATAGTTAACAGAAAAGAAAACTCCTTGAGAGCTTCCTTTGCGTGCGCTAAGAAAACGGTTTGAGATACCCAAAAATATGTATGAAAGAATGATTCCTCTTTAGATTAACAAACAAATATCTGTGGCAATATATGTTGATCTTTTAAGATTAACTTGCAAAAAGACGAACGACGTCACGGGTAAAAGCTTATCGTCAGCCTCATAACGTGATGAGGAGGTCAGCAAAAACAAATCTTGAAGTCGCTGATACAGCTAGTAATCTAAATAAACGTCCGCGACATTATATATCAATTTTTCAAGAAAGTTGTTTACTAGGTCGGCAAATCAAACATTACCAAAGCCTCCAGCTCATCCAAAAGTAGGTCGCGCACACATTGTCTGACGTCGAGTCCGCTGTCCACGAACATCTTGTTTGCGTTCGTGAACTCGTAACTGTCGCTGTTGTTGTTCATCGCTCGCGACCTCTTGTCCACTCGGTAGGCAGTCAACAAGCTCACCTTGTCCTGAAAGACACGAAACGGATGTACAGGATATTACTTCTAGGTCATGATGGCTCAGCCGTTATTTGTGGAGAGATGTTTTAACACGGATCTCGAAGAAAACACGTTTAATCTAATTTAAAAATCGATTTTTGATTTGAAAAAAATTTCGCTTGGTTTTTTTGTTAGGGGAGAAGAAAGGGAGGGGGGGGGTGCCCCCCCCCCCCCCCCCCCCCTCTATTATAGATAATTAAATTACTAAGTCAAACTAGTTTACAAGAAATATTAATTATATCAAGTAATTCGCTGAACTGAGGGTTTTTTTTTCGAGGTTAGTGGTCTACTTTTATATTATTACCTAATAACACATTTAAATAAAACACTTTAACTGTTTAAAACGCGATATATTAGTTAAACTTATTTGAAAATGTTTCGCTTTTCTGCAACCGATAAGGGACACCTTTTACGTTTCTCAGCCATTTTAACTTAAATCTTTAACAATAGTGACGAGCAGAGGTGTTTACATTACTTTCCATCAAAACAACAACGATTACTTTACACGCGTGTCACATTTACCTTTACTTGATAGTTGAAAATTCGTTATAAAGAGGTTGTACGCTATGAATGTTCGCGATGTAAAGGTATATTTTATATTATTTGGACAATTCAAGTGGATTACGAAGAATTTGTTAAATCGAGGAGGTCGTTATATTGAGGTACGTCATATTAAGGTTGCATTGTATATCGCGTTTTAAACCGTTAAAGATTTTTTTACGTGGTTGTTTTCATGAGTAGTATCGCGTAAACTACGGACAGTATTTATGTGTTACTGCGTCGTTAGGTGCATTATGTCATTTCGCTTAAAAGGAAAATTAAAACTGGGTTTTATACGCTTGATTCATTATTATTTTGTCCTTGCACAACCGTAACAACGGATCAGGCTTTCCCACGACTAAAGGTGAAATAGTTGCACCGCGGGAAAATAACCCGACTTTCCACGCCGACTAATGTGTTTGAAGTTCTATATAATTGCGTACATTGCGTTAGATTATGTTTACATGTACAAATACAGCACTTTCAACCGTTTAGTACGCGAAACATATTAGTCCACTTATTTTAAATACGCCCCAACGTTTCTGATGCTTTGCAGCAGATGTGGTCATTTGCTGAACAGGGTCCCTTCATGACCACAACTGCAGCAGCAACACGTGACATTAAGAGCAGGGCACGATTATAGGTTTGAGTCCAACCCGTGCCATATAATTTGTCAAATTAGTTTTATCTTTGACTTAAATGTTTAATTTGGAAGGGTTACAAAACGTGGGTTCGAAACTTACATTATTTTGTACTGGCAGATTAAATCGATAGCTAGAGACTAAATCGAATGGCGAGATTGGCAAAAATGGCGCTCTTTAGTTTCGGAGGCCAACACTCACTTTGGGTCGCCAGCGGAGTAAGTGAGTAAGACCGAATCGATTGTTTTAATTACCTTAACTAATAGTTTTCGAAGACTTTCACATATATACTTACCAGTGAGTTATCAATTTTCAAAGCTTGCTTCAATCCTTGTTCCGTCTGCCCACCAGCAGCTATATACCCCAACAGCAAAGCATGGTAAACGGAGAACGGCGAGAAGAATATGTTATCATCTGGTATTGCTTTGTTGATCGAATTAAATAGATCTAAGGTGAAGTGCATCTGGCCTTTGTACAAATTTCTTCGAGCGTCGGGACTCGCTTCTTTCGCATCGTCCTTGTCGAAACATTGACTATTGACTGTTATGCACGCTGCGAGAAATATTAATGCTAATTTCAGCATTTTTTATCTGTAACGAGCAAATATATATTTAGCTTTATTTGTTTGTACACGATAAATAAATTTAAAATCTATTTAGATTAAAGTGTGTCCATGTAGAGGTCCATGGCTTAAGATATCAATATAAAAATATTTAAATAAAACACTTCAACGGTTTAAAACGCGATATATAAGTTAAACTTATTTGAAAATGATTTTTAACTACGGCCTGACGTTTCGGATGCTTTGCAGCAGCCGTGGTCACGGGGAGACTAAAGATGGAGGATGTCTCTGACGTCAAAGTAAAAAATTGCTACGCTAGCGCAATTTTTTACTTTTTACTTTGACGTCAGAATATATCGCGTTTTAAACCGTTAAAGTGTTTTATTTAAATGTGTACTACTCGCGTAAACTATAGACAGTATTTAATATAAAAAGATTTCTATTTATATGTATAGTAATAGTATGAAGCTGTAAAGTTTCTTGTGTGTTTGTTTGCTTAAACGCGCTAATCTCCTTACAAGAAAGACGGGACGTGAACGACTGGACACGGGTAACTATTACAATTTATAAAGATGATTCAACGCAGACGTACCAGAGTATTATAGTAAACATTAATTTAAATAAATTTATAAGTAACGGTTAACAGAAAAAGAATTAGAGTAAAAATGTTTTTGATTCCTGACTCGACAAAATGTTATATTCGGACAATGCAGAAGTATGTGTCATCCCGGTTCTCCTATCTACTCTTGTGACATATTTCTGTGTCCGTTTCATTAATTGTTTTATGTGCTTGTCGCCCTGTCCAAGAGAAAGGCGTAGTTTTGAAACTTTCAAAAGAAAATAAAAAAGTCAAGGGTAAACCATGAAATGTATTAATTTCACACACACACACATTTCAGTACGATTTATTTAGTTTATGTTTTTTTTACTATATTAAAGTTTGTAGTTCCGTTAGTTTAATATAGTCTGCAATTCATTGCTACTTATATTGATTCACAAGCCATTTACTTTCTCCTTTTTCACACGTATTGTTTAGCCAAACTTTAAAAGTGTTTGTATAATGTATTTGTGCATGTTTTGATTTTGAGTTTAATTGATTTTAACATGACCCGACGAATCTGTTTACAACGAATTTTTTGGCTTTGGGACACAAATTTGTCAATTACACATGTCGCAGTTTGAAACATTTTGATTCTGAATATGTCCTAGTTGCGTAAACTATAGATATTTAAATATATATTTAAAGCATAAATCTATTTAATGATCATATGTTTTCTGGTACCTTTACGCTTATTATAATAGCATTGGTCACGATCATTAGACTGCACGCATACGTCCCCAAGCCTAACTTGGAAAACCCAAATTATGTTTCTTATATATACAAATAAATCTTGCACAAACAATGAGGTTCTCGCTAATCTAAACACTTACAAATACTTTATTGTCACAAAACAAGAAACACAACATAACACAAAAATAATATTGAAACATTACATTTTAATAGAATTTCAGAAGCCCCTTTAGTTGCGTATACCTAAGTACTACGCAACTAAAAAAGAAAAAATGTATTTTTGTGCCGCGCCAAGTATTGTTTCAAATGTCCAGAACAGCCTTTTTAAGGTTTTAATTTGATTTTGCCATAATTTTTGACCTCATAATGTACGTAAAACACTAACGACACTAAAAGCAGGTACAGCGAACAAATTGCAAGCAATATTCATGTACCTGCCAATGCTATGACGTAGATTTAACCTTCGGCGCACTCAGTTTTATAATACAGGGAATCCCAAGCGTACAGCGTGGACAATGCAACTTATAACGCACGGATTTCCCTTGAAAGATCATTTAGAGAAAGTCAGATGCGTCATCACACATTACACAACCGGACCACTAAAGCGTGTCGTTCGCAGACGAGCATAAACAATCATAATTCTATGCTGGGGCCGTAGCCAAGTTGTCAACGGTACGATGACGTTGGGCGATAGTAAAAATATCAATAACTAGCTGGGTCAGCGACTTCGTCTGCGTAGAACAGTTATTCACATACAGAGGTTTTATTTTCATATAGTTCTTGCAAGTTAACCTTAAAAGATATACATATTATAGTGTCACGGAATTTTTTTAGATCATTTAAAGGAATAATTCTTTAATACATTTAATGGCAAAGGCACAATGGACGAGGACCGTCGAGGTCCTAAATGTTTTGCACAAAAAAGCAGATATTTTTTAAATTCCTTGGGGTGAACTCACAAAATTAAAGTTTATTTTGAGTTATGAACGATAGTTTGGTTTAAGTTCATATATATTTGTTCTATCATATATAATTATATTGTTTAGTTTTTAGATCTCTGTCGCATTGGGATCCAACCTGTTATGACAGTGCATATATGTAAATAAATGTAAATAAATAAATAAATAAACAAATAAATACATATCTTTTGGTATTTTAAGGGTTTCCCCACGTGTACGCATCGGAAAATTCACTAGGATGAATAATTTTTCCGTGTTTTCCACATTTCCCGCTGTTTCTTCGCTCCTATTAGTCACAGCGTGTTAAAGCCTATAGCCATTCTCGATAAATGCTCTAATTAACACAGGATTTTTTTTTTATTCGAACCAGTAGTTCCCTTAGATTAGCGCGTTCAAACATACAAACAAACAAAGTCTTCAGCTTCATATATTGATATAGATTTTTATTATTATAAAAATAATTATAATAAGTAATCAAAGTTTTGTTTCGGGATGTAGTTTTAATATGTAATAGCAGGATAAAATAACCTGGCTAACAACATGATCAGTATTTGACAATTCCCACAACTGGGACGCGGTTTCTTAAGTGGGATATTAAGGCATTGATCAACCACGTTAAATGTGGATAAATACGATATATGTTGTAGAATTTTCAGTTCTAATACTTGCCGGTTTCATAAGAAGTATACTTCAGATCTATAGATTGACGATCTCACCAACAGTAATAGCCCCAATACCAGCTATCTATTGAATTGATAAAATGGTTGATAACAATGATACACTTTTACAGAGAAAGGTTCTATAGCGTTATTAAAAATCTACTTAGAACTGAACTGTAGATAAAAAATGGCCCAGTTTACTATCTTATATTATAAAGCTGACGAGGTTTTTTTGTTGTACGCGTTTAATAAAAATCAATATATTTAATCATGTTGGATAGACCATTTATTGAGGAAAGCTTTAGGCCATAAAATATCACTCTGCGACAAATAGGAGCGAAAAAAACAATGGGATATGGAAGAAACTGGGAAAATTATTCATCTCTGAGAGCTTAGTGCGCTGCGAAAACTATTAAAGAAATCAAAAAATATGTATAAAAGAAGATTGCGCTTTAAATAATGTAAAAAAAACGTTGTAGGTAACAGCTAGAATTCACAAATCTAAGGAGGTCGTTTGCAAAAATGAATTTTGTGCCTTAAATGACTATATCACGCGGACGAAGTCGCGGGCACGGCTATAATAAAGCAGAACTCGTTTCTCTAATAAAAACAAGAAAATAGGAACACAGAAGTCGGATTAGCCTCTAATAAATCAAATCAGTGACGAACACAGTTCGCCCGTGCCCCACAGGATAGTTGGATGTCACTTATATTTTGTATGCAGTTACGGTTTTATTGCAAACATTTTCAAATCTGACGAGTTTTTACAAAGATCGTTACCTACTTTATTCGGTCCTAACGGCACATTGTAATTATTGATTACAGTATTCAATCCGAAATAAATGTAAAATGTCTTATGACAGCACCGTTATGAACCCACCGTTCCACTTCAAAAGTGGGCCGAGTCAGTTTCCTACATTTGATTGTTTTTTTTTTTTTGACAAAGAAAGACAGGTCAGACAAAACATAATGGGCTTTTGACCCATTTTTTGTTTTCATTCGCAAATTAGAAAACCGAAACGCAATTGGACATTTTTTCATTAAAATAAAACACTTTAACGGTTTAAAACGCGATATATTAGTTAAACTTATTTGGAAATTATTTTTAACTTCGGCCGGACGTTTCGGATGCTTTGCAGCGGCCGTGGTCACGGGGAGACTATAGACAGTATTTTTTCAATTGGTTTCACCCAGACGGAATTTCAATATACCTACAACCCATTTGGAACCCTACAACGACGGCCCCCCCCCCCAAAAGGGGGTTGCCCCCCCCTCCTCTTTTTTTTGGAATCCACAGATTGACAACGACACGCGATTAAGCTGGTTCGTGACCCGGACTGGAATTTCGATATTCCTACCACACATTTAAAATCCGCATCCAGACCAAGTCTCACATGTTTCAGAAAAGTATCATTTTAGAATCATGCTGTACGTGGTGCGAATCGAACCCGAGACCTCTTATTACTGATTAGCAAACGAGCTCGTAATATCGTTTTCAAGTAGAATATTCACGATTATTATTTTGAGACCCGTGTTGCTCTAATGATGTAAGAACTGAATTGATGTTTGTGAGGTTGAAAGTTCGATTCTCAATCGTACACCAAAATCTTTATATTTGTGTATTTTATTATTATAATGCGTGCTACGTAGTGGAGATTTTAAGGGAACCAGCAAGTTTTGGACCCGAAACTCAACGGATCGTATCACCAACACGTATTGGAAGCTGTAAGAAAAGTATATGTATCACCTTGGTGGGCCCGTATCCCAGCTGTATGAATTCCCATAACTTAAGAAATAACAATACAGTATGTACAAACTTAACTGCTCTATTTAAGCTTTTAGTAACGCCTTCAGTTTCGTCATGATTTAATAAAGCTCACATAAAATACATTTAAACTAAACATTCAATAAACTCTAAGTTTCAATCAGTTTAATTTTATTTTGTGTTTCTTATGCTTACATTTATATTTAAAATATGTATATATATCTTCGTTAACACCGATTAACCGGCGGAAGTCATAAGGAAAATTACTATATTGGAGTTGTTATTGTCAACATAATTACCTAACTACCTACATGCATAAAATCATACACGTTTGCAGTAACTTGTGT